CTAATTGTATGTATAAATCCAAGCAGTCCAATTATGCAGTAATTGCTATTTGGTTTGATAATAAATCACTTCTTAGTAATACATCACTTTTAGGCTTCGCAAAAATTCTATCAGGGTCGCGCCCCTCCTACACAGTTCGGCGCCATTTTTCATAGAACTTTCAGCAATTAATTAGCAGAAGGAATTCTTTGCAGATGGAGCTAAGGATTTATACATACAATTAGATGTTTACCAATATTGGTTCAGCTCGGCTTGAAGACCACAATAAATCATTTGTGCTGAGGATGAGCGAAAACCTTCGTCCTGCAACAAAAGGCAGAATGAATCCCGGCTCGGAGCTGCTATGCTGCAGCCGGTGCCTTCCCCCTTCCTCCCAGTATTTAGGCTGAAACGGCTAGTTGGAGAGCTTCCGATGGATAGCTTCTTATCTCTCTCTTCTAAGTCCGAAGAGAGGGTAAATAAACTGCCAAACAGCTTGATAGATTGCTGTTTAGACAGATTAACGACGCCAAGATTCCAGAGCTGTTAAAATAACAACCCTCTGTCAGGCTACGCCCACCGGAAGTTCTCAAAATAGTAGTCTTATTTCCCATCAGGTGATCTACACAGGAGAGAAGCTGTATAAATGCATAGAGTGTGCAAAGACCTTTGCTCATAGACATAATCCTATTTCCCATATGCTGATCCAGACAGGGGAGAAACCATATAAATGCATGGAGTGTGGAAAGACCTTTGCTAATAGCTGTAACCTAAGAATACACACAAGGATCCACCCAGGGGAGAAGCCTTTTAAATGCATGTGAGTGTTGAAAAACCTACTCAAATAAGTAGCCATATTTCCCATCAGGTGATCCACCCAGGGGAGAAACCATATAAATTGTATTGTATTGTATTAAATGCATGGAGTGTCATAAAACCTTTACTGAAAAAAAAAGTCTTATTTCCCATCAGGTAATCCACATTGGAGAAACTATATAAATGTATGGTGTGTGGAAAGACCTTTGATCAGACCAGTGGACTTACTATACACAAAAGGATCCACACAGGAGAAAAACCATTTAAATGCATGGAGTGTGGAAAAACCTTTACTCAAAAAGGTAATCTTATTTCCCATAAGATGATCCACACAGGGGAGAAGCCTTTTAAATGCATGGAGTGTGGAGAAACCTTTACTCAAAAAAGTAGTCTTGTTTCCCATCAGGTGATCCACACAGGAGAGAAACCATATAAATGCATGGATCAGATCGCATAGAGTTGGCCTCCTCCGTATTCCATCCGCCA